GGTCAAAACAGTTCCAAAACCGGTCAAACCGGTCACTTTTTCCTTCCCCACGCGCAGTGGCGGCGCGTGGGTGCGCGTGAACAGTGCTAAAATCCCGAAAAAATTTCTAAAAATTATTTTGAGCGATTTCGAGATACTTACAAAGCTCGGTTCACAATTTTGAACGGCGGAGAGCTCGATTTCAAAAAATCGAAAACTTTGACCGCTTCACCTCCTCACGCGCCGCCGTCGACGGAGACCAAGGATGACACCGGCAAACTCGAAACGATGCAACGAACACGATGGTGCGGGAGGTGTCGTAAACGGATGACTCGATCGTCGTGAATCGATGAAAACCCAATTAAAACCGAGTTATTACCGACGATACTTCCGACTGAAATTCACGACGAACGGCGATGATTCACGACGAAAGGTTTGAGGGGTTTTGTTCCTCGATTGACAACGAACACGATGGTGGTTTCGGCTCGTCGTTTGGAGGTCGAACGGCGAGTAGATCGGAGTTGGAAGTTGGGTTGTTGGAGAGGGGAAAACTGGAAAATTTCTTCTGCCTGCGCACGGGAAAGAGATTTATAATTCAACATATTAAAAAAATGGTTATATCATGGGTTTAGCCACTGAACTTCCTGCACTTCTTAAAACGGTCTGCCAACTTTAAAATCTTATAATTTAATCCCTTGTTTCTTTCAAAATACCAAATTAAATCCACCACTTTATAATTTCTAAATTTTAGCCCCTAAATTGGGGTGTTACACCTCAGCATAACAGGGTCTTTGAATGAAAAAATTGTCATCTTCTTGAAGTTATCAGGTCCTTTTTTTTCTACCAATGTTCCTAAGTATTTTTGGGGTGAGGCTTTCTTAACTGTCATTTATCTGATTAATCGCATGCTAAGTAGAGTTCTTAATTTTCAGAGTCTGAGAGAGATTCTTACTCTATGTTTTCCTCCCGTTAAACCTTTGACTACTAGTATTCCTCTCTGTTTCTTTTTTTGTACTGCTTTTATTCATGATCATACCCCCTCGAAGTCTAAACTTGATCCATGGGCAATTAGGTGTGTCTTCATTGAGTACTCTTCGCTTCAAAAGGGTTATTAGTGTTATTTTCATTCTACAGAAAAGTGTATTCTTCTATGGATGTTACCTTCCTTGAAAGCAAATATTTTTTCTCTAAGTTTGAAATTTAGGGAGAGCGTGTGAGTTAGTTTGAATTTCAGTCTTTACCGGTTAATACTGAATTACCAGTTACACCATTTCCTTAAAAAAACCATCGAAATTCAGCCAAATTGTGACACCACTGAAATAGTTACTCAATCGCCCCTTAACATCACTATTATATTCGATCCTAAAGACCTACACACATCCAATAGTAAAGACCTACATCATACAGCCAACCCGATGGACTATCCTCAAACATCAAGCCCATCTATGTCACCATTTATTCCCCAAATTGACATTTTTACATACAAACGACAACCAAAATAAGTTTCATCAGTCCCCACACAACCTATGCATTGCCAAAAACCAGAACCAGGTTTGAATTCCTTGAAAAATGGAGGAGATCAGAGTAAGTTGAATTTTTGGTTGATACTAGTGAGTTATCCATTGCTCAAAGAAAATGAGTGTGACGGTGTACAACTCATCCTATTAATAAGTTTGTTGCTTATGGTAAACTAAAGTATGACTTTAAGAATTCTACAACCAAAGTTGGCAGTATTCGCATCCTAAACACAGTGGGAGAAGCATTAAAGCATCCTGAGTGGAAAAAGGCAGTTGAAGAAGAGCTATCGGCACTTGAAAGTAAAAAAACATGGATTATTGTTCGATCTTTTCAAAGACAAGAAATCAATTGGTTGCAAATGGATCTTCACTGTGAAATATAAGGTGGATGACAGTGTTGAACGGTATAAGGCTAGTTTTGTTGCGAAAGGATTCACTCAACTCATAGAGTATACTATCAAGGGACTTTTGCTCTGGTTGTAAAACTCAACGCTGTAAGGAAATTACTATCCTTAGCAGTAAATATGGATTGAATGCTTCACTAGCTAGATTTCAAGAATGCATTTCTCAACAGTAATCTTAAAGAGGAAGTTTACATGCAAGTTCCACCAGGAGTTCGAATAAATCCTGGGAATCAACGAGTGTGCAAACTATTGAAGTCATTATATGGTCTAAAACAGTCTCATCGGGCTTGGTTTGACAAGTTCAAGAAGGTACGTTTGTGAGACAACTATAGACAGTGTCAATTCGATCACACTCTATTTGTAAAGACTTCACCAAATAAGAAAAAGATAATTTTAATTGTTTACGTTGATGCTATCATCATCACAAGTGATGACTTGGTGGAAATAAAGAGAGTGAAGGCATTGCTAGCAAGAGAATTTGAAACTAAAAATTTGGGGACCTTGCGATATTTTTTAGACACGAAAGTGGCAAGATCAATTGAAATTATTGTTATAAACCAAACGAAGTCTATCTTGGATTTACTTTCTAAGACTTGGATAACTGGTTACAAGCCTTCGAAAACTCTCATGGAAGCAAATTTGAAGTTACAAAAAATGTAGTCACGTACAATATCAAATGTTGGTAGAAAGCTCATCTATCTATCTCTAACTAGGTCGGACATTGCTTTTCCGGTCAGTTTTGTGAGTTACTACATGAATAATCTGAAAGAAGAACATTTAGAAGTTGTGTATCGAATTCTACAGTATTTAAAGTTGACTCTGGGACATGAGTTAATTTTCAAAAAGCACGAAGATATGACAATAAAAATTTTCTCAGATTATAGCTTGATCGGAGAACTAACGGATAGAAGATCGACTATGGGATATTATTCTTTCGTATGGGGAAACTTGGTGACTTGAAGAAGCAAGAAACAAGCAGAAGTTTCCAGGAATAGTGCTGAAGTAGAGTTTCGGGCAATAATACTCGGGGTCTGTGAAGATGTTTTGTTACAAATGCTTTTAGTGGAATTGGAGGTATGTAACAACTACTTTGAACTTCAGAGTGACATTAAGTCAACCATAAGCATTGCTAAGAATCTGGTACATCACGATATAACAAAACATGTGGAGATGGACAAACACTTTATTGACGAGAAAGTAAATGATGGAACAATAAGGTTAAAATACATCTCTTCAAAAAATTATCTAGTAGATATCTTGACCAAAACACTTCCATGGGTGGCATTCGACGAGATCATATCTAAGCTGGGTCTTTATAATATATATTACACATCTTGAGGGAGACTGCGAGTTATGTTACGTATAAGGGAATGCTTTGTAAATATTAGAGTTTTATTCTAACTTTAACTTTAGCCATAATTGTAGATAGAGATAATTATAACTTAGCTAGAACTCTTACCTTAGCTAGGACAATTAGTAAATTCTTTTTTAAAACCTTATTGTAACCATCAAAGAATAGCACGTGAATAAAACTTATTCCTTCTTCTCCAGTAAATCAATTTTCTACAGTGAAAACAACCAATTTGAGCTTTAGAGTGATAGTAAGTCGGCTATGAGCATTGCTAAATACATCACGACATAATGAAATATGTAGAGATCGACAAACATTTTATTGCTGAGAAGGTGAATGGCGGAATAGTAAGACTAAACTACGTCTCTTCAAAAAATCAACTAGAAGATGTCTTGGCCAAAGCACTTCCAAAGGTTACTTTTGACAAAATCACATTCAAGTTGAGTCTTTTATAATATTTACTCCCCAGCTTGAGGGAGAAAGTAAGTTATATTACATTTATACAAGTTTTTTACTTGTAAATATTAGTGTTTTATCTTATCACTAACCCTAGCAGTCTACTTTGTAGATAATGATAATTTTAACTTAACTAGAACTCTGGACTTAGCTAGGACTCGAGATCATCACTTGTATAAAACTCCATTGTACCTGTCTGATTATAGTAACGGGAATTCAAGTAAATTCTCAATAATGTTTTCAATAAATTATATTTTCTACACTTGGAGGACAAGTGTGATGGTAGATGGTGATAAAAGTGGTCGATGGCTTAAGTAGATAAATATACCGTGGAAGTTGTAGTGGTTAGAGTGATTATAGAGAGTATATTGCAGAGAGAACTTTAGATTATAAATTCACCAAAAGATCAAAGCTCCAACCCAAAAGATCAAAGCTCCACAAATGAAACAATCTAACCAATAGTTATAGCCCTCTCAAGGAAAAACTATTGAATGGACGGTTAAGAAAATGTGGGTGATGGGATAGAAGTGACATGAAAGAATGTGTCACGAACAGAAATTTAAATTGCGGTTGAGATTGCATTTTCGGTTACGTTGCGTTTATCGTGATTAGGATGAGTGCTATTGCAGCCATTTTGAGTATCACAGTTGTATGTCTAGATACAAGTACGTTTTCTCTACGACTAGAAGGGGGAAAACATTTATACTCCTCGAAAAGGTTAAAAACAAACTTCTTAACAATATTCGTACTCTGAGTCTCCAAGACATCCCAAAAGGGGACCAAAATAAAGAATTCTGCCGAACCTTTTAGTCTTAGCTCCACATATTTTCAACATAAAAGTCATTCTTAACTTGGTTTCATGACTTTTCTTGATGTGGAAGTCGTGTCTAATGTTTTATTAACAACTTCGTCTGCGTGGAAGCCATATCCAAGGTTTTCTATTTGATAAGTTAATTTGCATTTGTGCCCTCAACAGTTTTCTTACATTTCTAACGTCTCTTTTGCCAGTAGATTTTTGTTCAAATGAATGTTAAACTCATTTTAAAAGCATAAAAATCGCTCACCTGCAGAAACGTTATAATTAATTATGACGGCATAGATTTTTTAACATAATAATTTTTTTAATACTTTGGGTGATTACAAGGTAGTATTTGTTCAGATTTTTTCTTAATCATTGACAATGTACAAACACCTTGCAACTACTCGAAAGACCTCTAAGAAGAACATCATTTTCTTTAACAATTGAAGCCCCTTGACGGGTTATTTTAACATATGCTAAAATTTTTATTGCAGGCTGATCCAATGAGGCTTGAAAACGAGAAGTTAAAAGATGAAAATGCATTTTTGAGGGAAAATGCCGATCTTAATGGTAACTTACCACATCTTGCAGAGGATAATGCGAAATTAAGAATCGAAAATAAAGCACTCAAGGTGCAGAACGATGCTTTATGTGGGAAGATTATCAGCGATAATGACAAGAAACGTGAACAAGATCAGTAAGCTAAATTAGTACTACAAAATGAAGATAAGCCCTGTGTTCTTTCTCAGTTGACGACACGTGCTGTATTTTATTTCATGGCACACCTTGTCTTTCTCTGTCCTTTTCCTTTCTACTCATCTTCAATCCTTCATGCACCATGTGGCTACTTATGACTTATCTTCTCATAGCACTTTAGCTTTCTTGTTCTTGACCTCACTTCTTTCCTAGATCTTTTAGATCTTCAATCGATTAGCATCCTTGATCTATCTTCTCTTGTTTTCGCACTTTTCATGCCTTCCTTGTGCTCGCCCCTTTCTCACTTCCTTGGAACCGGAAGGCCGGAAAAGAAAAACGAATATGGTTTTCTAGTATTCCTTTCATGTGTGTATAGCTGGCTGACGGGTAGATGGTAATCGCCCGGTACCATGGTGAGTTGTAGGGGGTAGTCATAAAGGAGTAACATTGGTGGTGTTGTAATGATATCGAAATTAGCTTGATCTTAATTCCTCTTCCAGTTTGGACCTTGAATTTGATTGTGTTTGTGTATAATCTTTTATTATGGGGGAAAAGAAGTATTTGATATTGTTTAGGCGTAGTAATTGCATGAAAATCAAGTGCCTTTGCTTATTTGTGTAGATATTGGCTTGGTTTCATCAATGTATTATACTGGATCACTTTACCAGAGAAAAAGTAGAGTTTACGTTTCAATTATGTCATTGAGCTGTTAATTCAATCATGTGTGATGACATGGATGTTGAAACAAAACATTGTTTTGGTGTAGTTTAAACTTCTAACATATGTTATTTGTGTTAAAATTATAGGATTTCTAAGTTAGGTTAGTGGTTAGGCGGCAACCTTTGTTTTCAAAAGTTTTTGGTTTGAATTTATTAAAGTAAGTTTTAATTTTTTTTCTTAATTTTCGATGTCGTCTTAGAAACTAAAATGAATTTTTGTTTTCTTTCAGCATATATGTCGACAATCATCGTTCGAAATGTTACGTTGTTGCCGAATTAATAACACAATGGTCTAATGGAAGTGCAAACTAAAGTTTAATGTTAAGATAGTGTCAACTTCTTGCTTAGTGGTAAAATCAATAAATAAAAGAGTACAATGAACACTAAAATCTTTAAGTATCGATATTTCTAAAATATCAGTTTTATACCATACATATTTAGGTATCATTTAATGATTTATAAAAAAACCTTAACAAATTCAAATTGTATGAAACATGGGTTTAGTTTTTCAATGTTGAAATTGGGCTTCTATAATTACAAACCAAAATCTCAGCCCAGTAGCATCAGCCATTAACATGAAATTAATCAAGTACAACTGTAAGAATATCAGTAGTCATTGATTGTATGCATACATTTCTATAATCCCTTATTTTATCATTTAGATTTGAATACAAGTGCTTTTGTAATTATTAAAATGTTTGTTGCACTAATTAAACGACTTCAATACTTAAAAGATTGTTGTTAGCCATAAAGGTATCAGATTCGAGCATGACGTCTGTTAGGATATATGAACATTTATTGTCAAATGATTGAAATTTTTTGAACATATATTATTTTGTATTCACCGTTGACTAATCAATATATATATATATATATATATATATATAATGTTGTTATATAATATGATAAAATATACAATTTAGAATAATGTAAGAATGATAACAACGAAGGTAAAATAATTATAAAATAATAAATCAATTCCAATCTATATGTTTGAAAAGATATAATCATGCAGTATTCTTCAACAGAATCAAGCTTTTTATTGAAATTGATATCCACTCATAACAAGATATTTGTAATACATTGTATATAGTGAAATAGGCTTTCAAATGGAATAAAAACAAACTTCGTACTATTCAAGTCTTGACCAAGTCTAACTAGATTAATCGAATCAAGATATAAACAAATATATGATATCTTTGTACAAAATTAATATTTGTAGTCAAACATATAGTGTGATTTTAGTAGAACAAAGAACATTATTCTCTTTAAAAGATAAGTGTTCGAGTGATTGTATTTGTATGGTATACATGTGTTGTCATAATATTAAGAAATTTTATGAAGGAACATATATTAATTTGACAAATAATTTTTATCCATAGAAAGACCTTTTTATGTAAAATGAAACGTTTGAGTTAAAATAATTAATTAATATATATATATATATATTGACAATATGGCTTCTAAAAACTATTATATATGTTTAAATGAGTTCCTTAAAGCGTATAATATCAAAGAAAATGTATTAGCAAATGAAGATGCCTTAAGCATCAAATAGTCTCAAAGTTATGACACATGCATGAGACAGAGATGCATGAAGCAAGAAGGCCATCCATGAATGTGTGAAAAGAGAGGGCACTCAAAATGATATGACAAGTCAACCCCACGCTTGTCTCCCTTATCTGCATTTGGCCCCTCCTCTTCCATTAATTCCTGCTTTTGTCCATTTGCATGGACATGGAAGTCACAACTCCCTCGTTTACTATACTTTTATACCAACATTTGAAAGCTACGAAAATAAAGATTTTGATGCATGTCGAATAGCGAATTTAGAATTTTTTTAAGGATAATTATTAAAATAAATTAATAAATAAATTAATAAAAAAAATTTTGTTGACCTCAAGTTTCAAGACTTCGTCATGATTAATCTGAACTGATCTAGGTCGCACACCTGATTTTGGTGGGTGATTCTTCCATGGGATATTCTGCATATATAATGACTCAAACATGAGACCTTACTTAAGCGATATCAAGTTGCTTACCACTTGAACCGACCCTGTTGATAATAAAAAATAATAGATTTCAAGATATATAATTAGGTATGAGTTCTCCATGATCATATATTTTCTTTTAATGAATTAATATTGCTTGATTTAATTAATTTGGTATCAACTAGGTGCATTTTGCACCGATTTTTTTTTTCTTTTGAAATATTTATGCATCATCTTCAATAGATAGATGGAATCACAGTTGATTTTTGTAGGCGTGAGTGGAGATTTTTCTCTCTTTTTTGCCTTAATTAATTATTTGACTTTGACACGTGAAACATTATGCGTGGAATAAGGCAACATGTTTAGGGTAAGATGGGAGTATCCTATGCTGGGACAGGATCCACTGGAACAAGTATAAAATTAAGTGATTTTTATGTATTTTTTATGATTATTATTTAAACAATAAAACCGTTAAATTTTATATTATTTCATGTAAATCATGAATATTAAGGTTTTGAGTAAATAAAAATATTTAGCTATTTATCATATCATGTATAAAATGTAAACCGATAAATATATATCAGCGAAGATATATATATATATATATATATATATATATATATATATTAAATCGACATATGAAAAATATAATTATATTGTTTTTTTAATAGTCTGGGTAAGTACAAAGTAGTATCTGTTCGAAGACAACTGTTAACCTTTCAACATTGAACGCTCACACCCCTGACATTATGGTGCTCAAACTCGGGTCCTCAAGAATAACAACAATTTTTTTTATCACGGAAGCTACTTGCTTCGTGCTATAATTATATAATTATATTGTTAAATTCAATGGTTAGATTATTAAAATATTAATAAAAGGAAAAAGGATATCAGGAGCTATGACTCTTAAATAGTAAAAATTATTTTTAGTCCTTTATATTTTAAAGCTAAAGATATGATAAAATTATCTTTTGGCCCACCAAAATTGGTAGATTTTAATTTAATCTTCTAAAAATTATATAATTTTAAGCTAAAACAATTATGGTGTTACGTAGTGATCATTCAAGAATTTATATTTTAACTTTATCCTCATGAAAAGTTTACTGTCTTTACCCTCAAAATTCACTTACACTAATGTAAAATTAGTATAGATTTAGGATATGTTTATTTTTATGTCATTTGATTTTTTTTAATAAAATGTTTTTTTTTCATTTTTCAGTGTTTGAATGGTGAAATAGATGGTCAACGTAATTCATTTTCTTGGTCAACAGAATTTACTTTGCATTTTCTGAAAAATGACTTACGGATTGATTTTTCATAAGTTGTTTTCTGAAATTTTCACTTCAAAGCATAAATACTTAAGATATTATTATTTATATATTTAATATTAATATTCTATTTTAGTATCATTTTAATAAAATATTAATTATTAAAATATATTGTTTAATATTTTTAATAATATAATATTATATTTTTAGTATTATAATAATATATTAAATTATAGTATAATAATATATGATATTACATTTTTATTTTGAGAATATATAATAAAGTATTAATAAAATTATTTTTGTTTATTAATTTCATAAAATAATATTATTAAATTACTAAATATATAAAATACATTTATTAATAATTTTTAGAATATAATATTGATAAATAATATTAAATAAATTATTTTAATATTTTAAAAATAATTGTATTAATTATTTTGTAATAAATAATATTATTTATTATACTTGAAATTTATAATAAATAGTTTTTAAAAATTTACCAACCAGTGAAAAATGGTTTACATGTATTATCCAAACACCGTAAAATGATTTTCAAAATTTATTTTCCAAAAAACGTAATTCATTTTTAAGGAATTCACTTTTTGAAATTTGTTTTCTTATAACTCTTTGTCTGATTAATATCTTAACAACCCAAACTTGTCAATACATGGTTGAAAGTTTTTATATCAAACAAAATTGCTACACATTTTTAATTTACTCAAAATTTGATATACATAATCAAAGTGAATAGAAGATTAAATATAACAATTAGATTATTAAAATATTAATTCAAAAATGAGTTATGCGAGTGTCTAAAATTAGTGTAGTTTTATTTTAATCCCTTATACTTGACCCAAACGTTACGGTCAAATCTCGAAGACCACATTGATCATTAGAATAATCTAAAATTCAATTTTTGTGTCTTAAAATACATTGAAAATATTAATTATTCTAAAAATTTAAAATTTACTTAATCCCAATATCAAAAAGTACACAAAATAGTGATAATAAATATTCAAAAAATAATTTAGTGAAGTTCTATGTCATAATATGAAATAAAACGGGTAAATGATATTTTATAATAAAAAAAAGTATCTGAGACTCTGATTTTCCAAGTATCGATCCTGTTTAAACATCTTGTATTATGTTAAAGGAAGGAACATGGAAGAGGTGAAGTAGAAAACTCAGTATCTAACCGTTCATATAATAAACATGATATTAAACAGAGATAATATAGTAACAGTATAAACATAACAACCTTACAATACAATAAGACTAAAAAATAATAATACATACAAACAATAGTTTATATGTCATGCCTATTTGAGATAGTAAGTCCAGCTATTCATTCATCCGCTAGCTGACCTAAATGAATAGCATTGAGAATCACAGCTCAAATTAAAATATTAATCGACCCAAAAAATAAACACTTGGAACCTCTGTTTTGAAAACCGGACCGGACCGGCCGGTTCAACCGGTTCAACCAGAAACCGTTGCTTAGTCCGGTTCAATCTAAACCGGTTGAACCGCTATTAGTGAACCGGCCAGAACCGCTGAACCGTTCGAACCGGACCGGCTGAAAATCGGAAAAAACCGGAAAAAACCGGGATTTTTGTTTTAAAAAAAAAAATTAAACCAAACAACGTTATTTGTTAAATGAGCCAAGTCGAACTCGAGTATTGCTGAGCTCGACTCGAACTTAAAAACTTTAA